GGGTGGGGGGGTTAATTCCACATTAGAATAATTAGGTTTTAATTACCATGGCATCCTATATTTAGGGTTCTAGTGGAGACAAGGAAAGATGAATGTTGAGGCACGGATTAAAGACATTTAATTTAGGGAGTGGCTTTTAAATTTTTGAAAACTTCTTGGGGGAGGTAAGTCAATTTTATTTGAGAGCATTTATATCTAATTACACTATAATAGCAGGGTGAGTGAAGAAAAAATGCAAGACATAGGCAATAAGAACCTATACTGAACATTGTCATACAACTTCATTGATAGGGTAATGTTGTTGAGCCATAGTAGACGGATAGACTGAATGCAGGACTGACAAGAGGAATGAGTTACTAATTTGAAAAAAGTATGAAACCAAGCCTTTTTTTTTCTTGAATTTGTATGAGTTCCTCTTTCTTGCCATTATTCTGTTTAAGAAATTTTGTTGACCTAGCACTGCATATGATGTTCGCCACCACCTTTCCCTTGTGCCCTGGAAATGGATTAGCCTCTACATTGCCTTCAAGGTTAAAGCTCTCCTGAACTTATCAACCATTTCTTCTATTTGCTACTAAGCTTGTCTTAGGACCCTAAAAACTTATCAACCCTGCTGTTGTTTGTGCTGGACAAAAACTTCATGCAAATAGGAGGCTTCACACCAGCCAGAGCAAGTATTGAACTAGGCAAAGTCCATATACCATCTCCACAAATTAAACCTGCAGCCACAGCAGGACCAAAAACATCTGCTTTTGCCTTGTCTATCCTCCCCCAGATGTACAGTATCAAGCTTCCAACACACATATCAATGGCGAAGTAGGGACCCAAATAAAATGGTATCGACATTGCCATTGGAAGCGGTATGAACCATGCTCTATTCTTACCGAGTGAGTCTCTAATCAAGTTGACAACAATGGCTGCCCCGAAGAACACGAGGCAGAGCATTAGGCAGTTTTTTGGTAAAGCTGAGAAGCCATTGACGCCCAATTTCGCCATGTTGTGGTACACGAGAGTGAAGGGGGCCGGATATTGACTGTCAGGAAGGCCGAGGTCTGGGAAGGCCTTCTAGAAGATCCAGAAGACACAAGGGGAAATCACACACCCCATTGCAGTGCCAATCACTTGGCTCACAAACATGGACCGTGGCGAAGCCAATGTCAAGTATCCAGTTTTGAAATCCTGCATAAGATCTGATGCTGTGGAAACAATGTTCATCATGACTCCACAGGCAGCTAAACCTGCGAGGACTACACCATGTGAGGCACCGGCCCACGCTCCAATCGTGAAGATGGCGAGCTTTCCGTAGGTGGAGGCAAGGGACCAATCCGTTAGCCCGCACCCAAATGCATTAAAGAAGGCCAAGGTGGGTGCAGAGATGTAGATTACTATAATGTGGTACCATTTCAGCTGGGGGAAGATATGAGGAAGTATTGTAGTTGAGATTGCAGCAATCAGGACATAACCTCTACCAGCAAACCATGATGGGATTTGATCTTTTAGAAAGAGTTGGGTTCAACGCTTGGTGTCATAGGAGACAGATTGGTTGACCGGAGGGGGCTTGTTGGTCACTGTGAGAGAGTTGTTTCCATTCCTGGCTTGAAATTTGGTGAGCAAGCCTGTCAGAGTTTGGGTTAACACCTTGAAGAAGTTGTATAAGCCATCACCTAGGATCATGGCAATGGCGATGAAGACCTGTATATACATTATGTTATGGAAGTTTTAGGAAGAGAAAAAATCTCCAACTATGCAGCACGAGTTGTCAATGGGTCTGTCGTGTTTCTACATTGTGTAAACAGTACCGTGTCAAGAATTGCACAATTCACAGCCAACTTCTATATGATTGTGTAAACTTGGGTTCTTATCGTATATAAGTCGTGTGTAGTTGGGTTTGTACCGATCTATTTGCTTGTTGGGTCTTGCAAGGTCATCTATTTCCCTCTTGAACCTACTAAGGCTAAACCCAAATTTGCAAACTTTGTGTCTATGATCTCTATGGACTGAATCAGTAAAGTACCTTGTAACCTTGAAGGCCCTGGAAGCTGTCTGACTTGAGTTCTGTACCGTACCAATCACCCTTTTTAGTTGCTATAAGAGGCCACATGATACCCCAAGAAAGAATTCCTCCAATTAGTAGGGATACGTTTATGATGTGAGGACAAATCATTCCAACTCCAACATAAGTTGCCGAGAAATCGAAGTAAAACCTGTAATTGAGGTATGAACAAATAAGCCAACGTTAGAGACCCAAAATTGTCTGTGCTAACATTGGTACATAAACTCTCTGATTAAAGATCAATATCTTGTTTCAGTGCATAGTTTTAATTAGTTTGAAAACAAAAACATTGTTTTGGAAGACAAAGAAAAAGAATTATAATTTCTTTTAGGCTTTTCACTATGATTCTTGTTGTTCAAGCAGTATGAGAGAAAATCTTTCCTCTTGTTCTTATGTCTTAAGTTCAATCATTTTTCACACCCCCTATAAGTTAGTCACCATTATCGTTTTAGGGACATGTTTTAATCCAACTCAAGTCATGATGGTTATCGCTAAACTCGAGGGAGTAGTCGGCACAAGACTAGACATGTAAAAAAAAAAAAAATTAAGCTAAATGTAATTGATTGGTTAAGTCTTATAGTGTTGAAGCTTTCCTTTGTAATTGGTGGAATCAACTTGCGATCCATTGAAGATGGCTAAGTGAGAAGGTTGTCATATTCATATATGTCCAGGGGAGATATTTTCTACTATAATTTGTGGTGATATAGGCTGGACGACTTTTCTAATGTTATTAATATGGGGGACCTTTTCAATCAAATCTTGTGGGTGAGAAGATTGTTGTTGATTTGATTCTCTGATGCACTGCAGCTGTGTATATCTATTATTTTATAATATAAAATAAGATATATTTTAATAAATTCATTTAACGGTCTCAAATAAATTTATTTAACGAATATCAACATTCCTTCTTACTTATATTGCACCGTATCTTCTTGCACGAGTTATCCCTAATCTTATAACAATATGGACTAAGTATCATCGGATTGAGATTTCTTTTAATATTTTTTTATAACGTTATTAATTATATTCAATCCATTGTACATTGACAAGAGGTTTATATATATATATATTAACAAGTTTATTTGAAATCATAATAGAATAATTTATTAATAAGAGATCTTAAAAGAAAATATAATAGAGAGAATTTTAGAGTGTGAACTTAACCAAGTGCCTAACTTAGTTGGTCACTCTTAATTTTCTCAAAATTTTGTCAATTAATGGATCGATTGAATCAAAACTTGTCAAATATAAAGATTGATGATTTCTGGTATCTCTCTTTTTGGGTGTTTTAAAAGTGCTCTCCTTTCGACTTATCTTCACCTTTCTATGTGAATTTTCTTATCTATTACAAATGCATCATCCAAAGGTTGATTTTTTTTTTTTTATTACAATAGCTATCTATCTATCTATCTATATTTTTAAAAAAAAAAATAGAGTGTGAACCGTTGGAAAATTAAGCATGACCAAGACTCCAGCAGGGTACCACCATCCCTTTCAGGTCCCAATTAGTCTATTTTTTCCCACTAGAATGATACTTTGACTCTGCAACCCTTTGCATTATTTGTGCACATTACAAACTAAAAACAAAGAATTAAATACAAGAGAAAGGCTAAGGTATTGAAATTGGTATCATATCAAATTTTATAATTTTTTGAGGTCAATTTATAAATTTTTTAAAGAAGAAGTTACAATTGAAAAAAAAGTATGATCGATCCTAAAGTATTATGATCGATAATAAAAATTACAACTTTTAATGGAGGGACAACATTTTAATTCTTGAAAATATCTAACTAGAGCAAACCTACATGATTTTACAATAAAAATAACTGGTATCAATGGCAATGCTACATAGAGATCAAATTGAGATCTTCTTTATTACATTCCTTTTATTTTATCCAACATTAGATTACTTATCACGAATTTAAGTGATATATATATATATTTTTTACTCATACACCATGATTGATATACCATTACATAAAATTGATTGAAAATGCAATGAAGACGATCTAAATCCATACAGACCAAGGGGGCATGCACACCTCTGAATTGAATTGAGATTTTTTTCATTATTTTTTTGCTTGAATTTCACTTAATAGTAGATCACCTACTATTAATACAAGTGCCAGTTATTATTTATAAAATGGGTCCTTTATTTATGAAGACAAACCTTGATTATATTGGAGTACTACTATGCTAATTATATTTTGGGACCAAATTAAGAGCCCAAAACAAGTTTTGTCATTAGTGCATTTCATATTGTTGTTAGATGAATTTGTTTTTATAGAAAAGAAAAGACTTCTTTCATTATATCTTGGATGAATTAATGGCATTTTGTTTTTTTTTTTTTTGGATTTTCCTTTTTCTACCACCCAAGAGAAGTTGTGGTTTGTTTCCTAAAAGCAAGAGAGGCAAATGTTTCCATGGTCCACAAGATGGCCAGGCTGCACTTCTGGTGGATTGTTTAAAGTAAAAATGTGATAGTATGGGGGTGTGCAATTGAAAAACAATAGCCATAGTTAGAGGTGCAATGTGATACACACAATCATTGAGGGGATAATGTGCAACTCTACAAGGGGGGGGGGGGGTCAAAGTGAAATGTGATAAACACAATCATTGAGGGGATAATGTGGAACTCTACGCATAATTCGAGGGATCAAAGTGAAATTTATCCTACGGGCGAATGGTGGGGGTCAGGGGTGAACACACATCATATTAATATATCATATCATGCCATTAACTTTTAACAAAATAAAATAGCACTGTATAGACTATAGTTTCGCATATAAATTCGTATGTCCTTGGACTATTCGATACATACATCATATATTTTGATGGGCTATTGTTGTTTAGGGATAGTTAGGTCCTAGGACCCTAAAAACTCATCAACCTTCTTGTTTGTTCCGGTGGGCAGAAACTTCATGCAAATGGGAGGTTTTACACCAGCCATTGCAAGCATGGAACTAGGCAAAGTCCATGCACCATCCCCACAAATCAAACCTGAAGCTACAACACACCCAAAAGCATCTGCTTCGGCCTTGCTTATCCTTCCCCACGCATTGAGTATCAAGCTTCCAACGCACATATCAATGGCGAAGTGAGGACCTATATAAAATGGCAATGCCATTACCATCGGAAGTGGTATAAGCCATGCTCGATTCTTACCTAGGGAGTCTCTCATCAAGTTGATGACAATGGCTGCCCCAAAGAAGACGAAGCAGAGCAAGAGGCAATTTTTCGGTAAGGTTGAGAAGCCTACGACGCTCAATTTCGCCATGTTATGGTAAATGTGAGCCAATGGAGCGGGGTATTGGCTTCCGGGAAGGCCATGTAGAAGATCCAAAAGACACAAGGGGAAATTACGCACCCCATTGCAGTGCCAATCACTTGGCTCACGAACATGGACCGTGGTGAAACCAATGTCAAGTGTCCTGTCTTGAAATTCTGCATAAGGTCAGCGGCTGTGGAAGTAATATTCATCGCGACTCCACAGGCAGCCAAACCTGCTAGGACTCCACCATTTGAGGCACCGGCCCACTGCCCGATCATAAAGATGGCAAGCTTTCCATAAGTGGGTGCCATAGAGAAATCAGTGAGCCCACACCCGAACGCATTACAAATGGCCAAGATGGGTGTAGAGAAGTAGATAACTAAAATGTGGTACCACTTTAGCTGGGGGAAGATATGAGGAAGTGCGGCACTTGAGATTGCAGTAATCAAGACATAACCTCCAACAGCAAACCATGTTGGGATTTGATCTTTCAGAAAGAATTGGGTTCGGCGATTATCATCAAATAAGAGAGACTGGCTGACCGGAGGATGGGGACATTCGGCCACCGAGAGAGCGTTGTCTTTGTTCCTGGCTTGAAATTTGGGAACCAAGCCCACCAAAGTTTGGCTCAGCACCTTGAAGAAGTTGTATAATCCATCACCAAGGATCATAGCAATGAAAATGAAGAGCTGCATTTATGTCATATTATTGAAGTTTTAGGATGAGGAAAACACTAGTATGAAAGCACATATTCGAGGGTATCGCATAGAGGATCGATGTGGACTATGTTAGTAAAGCACCTTGTAACCTTGAATGCCTTGGATGCTGTTTGGCTTGAGGTCTGCACTATACCAATCACCCTTTTTAGTTGCTATAAGAGGCCACATGATACCCCAAGAAAGGATTCCTCCAATTAGCAGGGATACATTTATGATGTGAGGACAAATCATTCCAATTCCAACATAAGTTGCGGAGAAATCGAAGTAAAACCTGTAATTGAGGTATGAAAAAATAAGCCAAAGTTAGTGACCCAAAATTGTCTGTGCTAACATTGGTACATAAACTCTCTGATTAAAGATCAATATCTCGTTTCAGTGCATAGTTTTTATTAATTTGAAAACAAAAACGTTGTTTTGGAAGACAAAGAAAAAGAATTAGAATTTCCTTTAGACTTTTCACTATGATTCTTGTTATTCAAGCAGTATGAGAGAAAATCTTTCAATTTGTCCTTCTGTGGAGGGTTCGAAGAGGGGCTTGGTAGCTAGAGAAATAAAGTCAAGGAGGAATGTGCAGGTAGAAAACTAAGGCAAGGGCAAAGTCAACTTGAATTGGGGCGTAGAAAAGTGGTAAGGCAACATTTAGAAATTTGATTCTGAATATTCCTAAACATTGGCTGCAACAGTCCAAAATATTCCGAAATATGAGAATTTTGATATTAATCCTTTTTAGTTTTGATAGGTAAGAGAGAGTTTGTATTACTTCTGCTCATATGGTTTCAATCCAAACGTTGGGAAGCTGTCGAATCCACAATCGTCACCACCAGTAAAGAACCACTGGAAGAAACCCCACAAGAAGCTGAAGGAAAAGAACTTTCCCAATTCTCTCAGTTGTTTCCCGCAGACACTTGGGAGAATGAAAAGGTAGCCTTCAAAAGATTAATTGCAATAAGCGTTAAAGCTCGAAACTTGGACAGTCAGATAGCTACTTACTTTGCAAGCTTATCTCCTTTAGGACTGTTGAAACTGTTAATAACATGCGCCGTTGCAATACCATTTGGATACGTTAATTTCAAGTCCAGTATCATAATCTGAAACCAATTATGAATCACGTACCCCAATCAAGAACTGAAAATGGTACAATCACGATACAAATAAGGAGAGATTTGATTCGTGATCTTTTTAAACTCCATATGCTCCAAAAGTTTAACGTGTACCTTCCGAAGGGGAACCACGGTGAAAAGGCCTCGAAAACCAACGATGAAAAGAAAACCAATCATCCACCCTAGCTTCGGGTTCTTATAAACCGGTTGGATGTCTTTGGCTCCTGCAGATTGTGCTGCAACGCGTTCACTCATTCCGAAAAGGTAACTCCCAAAGCCCCATGTACAAGATGACGACAACAAACAGCAACGAATGAGAATCTATAAACAAGAGTGCAATATGGATTTCTTATATTAGCATACATCAAGGACATGTTTGTTTCATGGGTTTAATTAGGATAAAATGATTGGATTTGGAAAATGAAAAAAAAAAATTCATTCCAATAACGTATTCTTTGTTTGATTGATATCTCAGAGTCCCTTAATTTTGAACCTATCTTTATCCCGACCTAACTTTAACTATTCCAACAATCCTACTACATATGGAGGTTTCATGAAATCCGGGGGTGTGGTTCAAGAGTGGGCAAGCCGGATTCCTAGGCAAAAACTTACTTTACCTCAAAACATGGGAATTGATTGTTTTGAACAATTGACAATTTAATCAATTCAATATATACCAACAATTCATGATCCCAGATGATCCTTAAGTCATATGCCAAACATAGGATTGGATGAGGAAGAGCATTTGAATTATATGTATAAATCCATTGGAGTGGGATTTGTAGGGCTATAAAAATGCAATCCAATCCTCCTCCTAACAACCATCCTAACATGACCTAAGTGCAATGGTAGTTAATTTTGTTTGCATGTGTGTATATGGCTTTTATCCATTTTCTTTTTACACTAAATGTGGATGCTTTTCGATCATAAATGTTATTGTTTGGATGGTAGCATGAGCTGGTATTGAATTGGATTTTTTTAACCTTTCCAATTCCAACCGGTTGGATTCAACCATTGGATTCATGGTATTCTTTGCCCCAAACCATGTTTAGTTGTCAAATCATGGACAACAGTACAAGAGTCACTATTTGTGTTATTGAATTGACTAAAATATCGGTTGTTGTTGGGCCTTTTTAAGGGAGTAGTAGATAGGCAAATGAATTGGGCTAAAGTAATTATTTGGGTTGTAAATTCTGCTTAGCTTGATTTTTTAAGCGTCAATTACCCTTATTTCTTTGAGAATATGTTTTAGTTCAGCCTAACCTATAATGACCAGTCGTTGAACTCGAGGGAGTATTCAACGCAAACATGAACAACCTATAATAATAATAATAATAAAAGAAACCTACAGTATGTGGGCTTGAACTTGCATATTGGGACCTAGAAAACAAAAGCTGCAAATGACCGTCACCAAAACTCTTAGAGTAATGGTATATGAACCTTATTTGCGAATTTAATGATGTGGTTTTAATGTAACAATTGGATTAATTGTAAGTTTCAATGTTAGATGTAACACAATCAATTCAATAGTTATACATCATTAGGTCTCTAAATTAGATTTTTAAATTAAGTCCAAATAGCATTTTCCAAACCGTTAACCAAATAAGATATAAACAAGTCCATTGAACTATCTGACTTAATTCAACCCTCTTATCACCCAACCAAAAAAATGTACAATTACATATGTTGAACCCGTTGCTAGAGAGTACCCCCTATACAAAGCTGTGAATTTTATGTTTCAAAAATAAAATAAAAATGGTTAAAAATTTCAAAAATATGTTTCCAAAATATTGGTCAAAATATCTCCAAACAATTAATAGATTAACAAATGTGCCAACTTCGCCAGCGTCGCGGGATACCGATTTCCTCCTGCTTTGTGCGTCGGGCAGTGCCTGTACCTCTTATTAGTAAAGCTTTTCAGTCAGCTGGTAAATAATACAACAAAATAATAATAAAAAATATTCACGATGAGAGTTAAACATGCAAAATAGCTATTCTAGATGCAAAATATACAAAAAAAGAAAAAAGAAAAAATATTAGTAACAAAAATTTTAAAATTAATAAAGTCTTATTTAAGGTCGACCATACCACAAGAAAAAATAAAAGAATTAATGATACAGATAATTGAAAAAAGACCTCATTTCCAAATGTTGCTTTAGGTCTCAAGTTTTCTTTTGCTGCCCTCGAGGGTTTGCCTATTTATACTAACTAAAAAGGTGATCCTCAAGCAATAATGGTGTAGCCCCTTAGTTTGTTAGGATATTGAAAGAAGTATTCGATCGTCAGAAGCTATATTTCCCTAAGCAAGATGTAACCTTTTAGAAGCGGGCCGCGGGTTGGTGACTTCGTTCGTTGATAGGATCTAGTGTTGAGTTTTCACTTCTTATCCCTTTTCTCTTTGTAGTTCGACTTACTTCGAGCTCACTTGGGAAGTTGTTGTCCTGGGTTCAACCTCTGACTGAGCTGGTCTGTCTTGACCTATTTGTTAGTGGATAGGCTGAACCTCTTTCTCAAATTGATGGTTCTTTTGTTACATTGTGGGTTCAACTTAGGTCACAATTTTATCATTGGTATCATCTGAAACCATTTTGTCATGGTCAAAAGGAAGGTTTTTTCGAAACTTAATCCTAGACGACAATATGGTAATTTATAAAACACTTTGTATCCGACTCATATCGAATACAGTTCTGTAATAGATACGACAATGACAACGAGAAGATACATATCAGATATGATCAATTATACTTCAAACATAATATTTAACAAAGGATGACATATCACATATGTGTTTCTTGTATCTGTATTCTACTCTAACAGAAGATAACATCTAAAATAGAGAAGGTAAACAAGTGATTGCACAAATCAAACATGCAAAAGCCAAGAAATGCGTACCGCTGTAGGCAATGCCATAGGCGGCAACTACACAGGTCTGAATAACAGTGTTCTCTTGACGGGTGAAGGGCTGCTTCAACATGCCAGTTCTATGGAGCAACTTGGTCCAAGTCTTGACGAAGAAGAACCCTAAGACTCCGGCCGAGACGTTGACTGACGGTATGATACCGGTGGTGAGGCTGAGCTTCATCACTATGACGCTGAACATCACTGATAATATGAAGCTCACTGCGAATGCCTTTATTGTCAGCTGTTTCTTCCACGAGGGCACTTCAATGTTCTCAAAAATCCTTTCCACTGACACTTCTTCTTCTTCTTCTTCTTTTATCTTCTTCTTCCCTTCTAAACTCAACTTTTCAACTTCTGATTCCAACCCACTCTCCACACACTCTTCCCTTTGGTGTTCCATTATATCTCTGCTCCTCTGTGGCACTCTTTTTCTCTCTCTCCCCTTACTTCGGATAAGAGTCACTGATCTTTTTTTTTTTGGGGGGGAGGGGTCTTATATAAAAAGGAAAAGTATTCAAAGAACCTTGCAATATACTGAGCTTTGTCATGATCACCTCAAAGTGTGAGTTGTGCTAACCACTTGCATATGGATACAAATTCGAAGAAACAATGTGTTGTGATCGTGCAGTAATTATGATGAATAATAAAGAATCAAACAATTAAGAAAGCAGGAGAAAATAACACATAGAAATTTACGTGGTTCGACAATGTGCCTACATCCACGAGAGCGAGCGGCCGTTCTTTTTCATTATTGAAATAGGGTTACATCTTAAGTATTTATATAACCCTAATATGGACGTATTTATAAAAATACCCCTGTATCGTACCGCGGGGGCGTTGCCCCCGCACCCCCAACTAATCAGCGTCCCTTTTATATAAATCCCGCAAGGCAGATGCCGTCGTGAACTCCGTTCCGTTTCGCTCCCGGCATCTGCCTCCTTGCCATTATGCATATAACAAAATATGAGCCACACATACTCTAACACAAAAATACAAATGCAAGTTTCTCATTGTAGACCATTAAATTAATAAATCTTATGGAACGGTCACATTTTTAATGATTGTAACTATAACTCGTCAAGTGGTAAAAATAAAGTGGGGGTACATGAATTGCATTATTCATTGAGAAGTCATCCCTCATACATACTGATTTTGGCTTTCCTAAATCTTTAAATTTGGCTCCAATGAATCTGAACCGCACTCCGTTTGGCATAAAAACAGATGCACACCTACTTCTCAGCAGTAGAAACTTGTAGAGGAAGATGAAAACTCCACCGATCTCTAGTGTGAGAGGTGGTGGACGGAAATATATACTACTTCCAAATTTATAACTCGAAAAACTTTAACCTAAATTTTTTTATGATAGAAACTTGCAGTCCTACCTAGCAATTTCTTGAGCTACAAGTCTAAAACCTTAGATTTAGCTCTAACGGTCCAGAATCTCCCATTATCGTGTCGGTTAAAAAATATGGAGACCTACTTTGTCTTGATAAACTTGCTAGGAAGTATAAACCCTCGCTCTAACCCCCAAGGTGAGAGTGAGACAAAAAACAGAATTTCTATACTAGTAAGTCAAAAAATCTTAAACTTGAAACCTGGATCCAATTTCTGGTGGTGAGAGTTAGACAGAAAACTAGGAATTTCTAGACTTGATGTTGAATGCCTATTTTCTCTTCTTTAAACAACTAGTTCCAAACCCGGGTAAATGAATAAGGTTGTGTTAGGCAACGTTAAACTTGTTCGATCTCATATGAACATGAATATTACGAATAAATCTATATAATAAATTACAATACAATTCAAATCTCAAAAGATAAATAAAATAATTTTTGATTTTCGCTGTTGAAATCGCTTCAAATTTTTATTTTAAAGTTAATCTAATGATTAATATTAACACTCTAAATTTATTAGAAAAAATAAGTCTTTAAGAGTGTGTTTAGAGTGATTTTTTTAAAAGTGTTTTTAAAACTTAAAACTTATAATAAGTATTTTTTTTTTTTTAAAATAGTGATTGGAATCGCCCCACCACCACCACCGCCCCACCTACACCCCCACCCCCACCCCCATCAGCACTACCCCCATCATAACTGTCGTCACTCCACCATCACCTCTACCACAATCAACAACCACTATCGTCGCCGCCCCCATCGTCGTTGTCACCCCTATCACTGTCGCCACCCCACCACCACTATCGTTGTCGCCACCTTACCACCACTGTCATTGTCTCATCACCACCACCACCACCACCACCACTACCATCGCCCCACAATCACCCCTACAACCATCACCATTATTGCCTCCAACGCCTACCCACCATCACCGCCACTGTCGCTGTCGCCCCACCAGCACCGCTATTGTCCCACTACCCCTTTCCCCCACCCCCACCCCCACCGATTGTTACCACCATTGTCCTTCACCACTACTAACCACTCTCACTATCACCCACCACCACCTACTTCCACCACCATCATCACCATCACCCGTGGTTGTCCCTACTACCATCATCACCCAAAATCTACTATCGCCATTATCACATACAACTACCACCATTATTACAATCACCACCCACCATCACTTTCGCCGACTGCCACCATTACCACTGCTCACCCTCATTATAATCGGTGCTTAAATTTTTTTTTCTCTCCTCTATGTTTATGATTTAATTTTAGGTGTAAATACACATATGTTGTTAATAATTTTTTTTATTACTCCGTACCTTCAGGCATGGGTAATAACTAGTATTTAAATACTTGGGCATTCCTCTTAAACGATTTGTTGCACCTGCACCATAGTGTTTTGAAGAATGGGCAAAAGATGCCGCATTTTAGTTGTCCGAATGCCCTGAAAAAATGTGCAAGGTTTCCGTGTCACTCTACACAAGCTCGGATAAAGAAGTTAGTCTAAGATTCTAAACTTAGGTTAGCAACTTGAAATATAAGAATATTAATGACTAAAAAATGAAGTGACTTGAAATTATGATTAGCAGAAAAGTCGACGTAATATGTTTGCAGTAGAGTTGGTGAATTAGACCCTTAAAAATGACAAAAGGGACGTGTTGGAAAATATTGTTCTGGATAGTTACAATTATAAAGTATCGTTGTTCTTGGCAATTGGATGAAAATTACTAGGTTAGGTCCTATGATTACAACATCAGTTGTTAGGCAAGTAAAGAAAGACATAAAAACACACACTAGATTGTCATTTATCANCACCCCCAACTAATCAGCGTCCCTTTTATATAAATCCCGCAAGGCAGATGCCGTCGTGAACTCCGTTCCGTTTCGCTCCCGGCATCTGCCTCCTTGCCATTATGCATATAACAAAATATGAGCCACACATACTCTAACACAAAAATACAAATGCAAGTTTCTCATTGTAGACCATTAAATTAATAAATCTTATGGAACGGTCACATTTTTAATGATTGTAACTATAACTCGTCAAGTGGTAAAAATAAAGTGGGGGTACATGAATTGCATTATTCATTGAGAAGTCATCCCTCATACATACTGATTTTGGCTTTCCTAAATCTTTAAATTTGGCTCCAATGAATCTGAACCGCACTCCGTTTGGCATAAAAACAGATGCACACCTACTTCTCAGCAGTAGAAACTTGTAGAGGAAGATGAAAACTCCACCGATCTCTAGTGTGAGAGGTGGTGGACGGAAATATATACTACTTCCAAATTTATAACTCGAAAAACTTTAACCTAAATTTTTTTATGATAGAAACTTGCAGTCCTACCTAGCAATTTCTTGAGCTACAAGTCTAAAACCTTAGATTTAGCTCTAACGGTCCAGAATCTCCCATTATCGTGTCGGTTAAAAAATATGGAGACCTACTTTGTCTTGATAAACTTGCTAGGAAGTATAAACCCTCGCTCTAACCCCCAAGGTGAGAGTGAGACAAAAAACAGAATTTCTATACTAGTAAGTCAAAAAATCTTAAACTTGAAACCTGGATCCAATTTCTGGTGGTGAGAGTTAGACAGAAAACTAGGAATTTCTAGACTTGATGTTGAATGCCTATTTTCTCTTCTTTAAACAACTAGTTCCAAACCCGGGTAAATGAATAAGGTTGTGTTAGGCAACGTTAAACTTGTTCGATCTCATATGAACATGAATATTACGAATAAATCTATATAATAAATTACAATACAATTCAAATCTCAAAAGATAAATAAAATAATTTTTGATTTTCGCTGTTGAAATCGCTTCAAATTTTTATTTTAAAGTTAATCTAATGATTAATATTAACACTCTAAATTTATTAGAAAAAATAAGTCTTTAAGAGTGTGTTTAGAGTGATTTTTTTAAAAGTGTTTTTAAAACTTAAAACTTATAATAAGTATTTTTTTTTTTTTAAAATAGTGATTGGAATCGCCCCACCACCACCACCGCCCCACCTACACCCCCACCCCCACCCCCATCAGCACTACCCCCATCATAACTGTCGTCACTCCACCATCACCTCTACCACAATCAACAACCACTATCGTCGCCGCCCCCATCGTCGTTGTCACCCCTATCACTGTCGCCACCCCACCACCACTATCGTTGTCGCCACCTTACCACCACTGTCATTGTCTCATCACCACCACCACCACCACCACCACTACCATCGCCCCACAATCACCCCTACAACCATCACCATTATTGCCTCCAACGCCTACCCACCATCACCGCCACTGTCGCTGTCGCCCCACCAGCACCGCTATTGTCCCACTACCCCTTTCCCCCACCCCCACCCCCACCGATTGTTACCACCATTGTCCTTCACCACTACTAACCACTCTCACTATCACCCACCACCACCTACTTCCACCACCATCATCACCATCACCCGTGGTTGTCCCTACTACCATCATCACCCAAAATCTACTATCGCCATTATCACATACAACTACCACCATTATTACAATCACCACCCACCATCACTTTCGCCGACTGCCACCATTACCACTGCTCACCCTCATTATAATCGGTGCTTAAATTTTTTTTTCTCTCCTCTATGTTTATGATTTAATTTTAGGTGTAAATACACATATGTTGTTAATAATTTTTTTTATTACTCCGTACCTTCAGGCATGGGTAATAACTAGTATTTAAATACTTGGGCATTCCTCTTAAACGATTTGTTGCACCTGCACCATAGTGTTTTGAAGAATGGGCAAAAGATGCCGCATTTTAGTTGTCCGAATGCCCTGAAAAAATGTGCAAGGTTTCCGTGTCACTCTACACAAGCTCGGATAAAGAAGTTAGTCTAAGATTCTAAACTTAGGTTAGCAACTTGAAATATAAGAATATTAATGACTAAAAAATGAAGTGACTTGAAATTATGATTAGCAGAAAAGTCGACGTAATATGTTTGCAGTAGAGTTGGTGAATTAGACCCTTAAAAATGACAAAAGGGACGTGTTGGAAAATATTGTTCTGGATA